TAAAGTTCCTTAACCCTATCTCCTTTATTCATAATGAGACAATGCTTTAAGAGTTGTGAATCTGACATGTCACGCTACAAATATATAATTGAAATTATGTACGTGTAAAGTTCCTTAACCCTATCTCCTTTATTCATAATGGGACAATGCTTTAAGAGTTGTGAATCTGACATGGCATGCTACAAATATACAATTGAAATTATGTACGTGTAAAGTTCCTTAACCCTATCTCCTTTATTCATAATGAGGTGCAATGCTTTAAGAGTTGTGAATCTGACATGTCATGCTACAAATATACAATTGAAATTATGTACATGTAAAGTTCCTTAACCCTATCTCATTTATTCATAATGAGACAATGCTTTAAGAGTTGTGAATCTGGCATGTCACGCTACAAATACACAATTGAAATTATGTACGTGTAAAGTTCCTTAACCCTATCTCCTTTATTCATAATGAGACAATGCTTTAAGAGTTGTGAATGTGACATGTCACGCTACAAATATACAATTGAAATTATGTACGTGTAAAGTTCCTTAACCCTATCTCCTTTATTCATAATGAGGTGCAATGCTTTAAGAGTTGTGAATCTGACATGTCATGCTACAAATATACAATTGAAATTATGTACATGTAAAGTTCCTTAACCCTATCTCCTTTATTCTTAATGTGACAATGCTTTAAGGTTCATTTGGTTAACTAGCTCTACTGGATTCAGTTGGTTGAGTATCTCTACTGGGTTCAGTTGGTTGAGTATCTCTTCTGGGTTCAGTTGGTTAACTAGCTCTACTGGATTCAGTTGGTTGAGTATCTCTTCTGGGTTCATTTGGTTAACTAGCTCTACTGGATTCAGTTGGTTAACTAGCTGTACTGGGTTCAGTTGGTTGAGTATCTCTTCTGGGTTCTGCTGGATAATTAGCTCTACTGGGTTTAGTTGGTTGACTAGCTCTTCTGGGTTCAGTTGGTTAACTAGCGTTACTGGGTTCAGTTGGTTGAGTATCTCTTCTGGGTTCAGTTGGTTAACTAGCTCTACTAGATTCAGTTGGTTGAGTATCTCTTCTGGGTTCAGTTGGTTAACTAGCTCTTCTGGGTTCAGTTGGTTAACTAGTTCTACTGGATTCAGTTGGTTAACTAGCTCTACTGGTTTCAGTTGGTTGAATATCTCTTCTGGGTTCAGTTGGTTGACTAGTTCTACTGGATTCAGTTGGTTGAGTGGCTCTTCTGGGTTCAGTTTGTTGACTAGCTCTACTATGTACCTATTGTAGTTGCAGCATACTCACAATGAGAGCAAGGATTTATGCACACTGCACACTGTGCAGTGTGCAGTGTACAGAGAACAGTGTAAAGTGTGTAGTGTGCAATGTGAGGTATATGTGTGCTGAGTAAAACTTACAGTGTGCAGTATGCAGAAAGTAGTGTGCAGTGTGCAATGTGAGGTATATGTGTGCTGAGTAAAACTTACAGTGTGCAGTATGCAGAGTGTAGTGTGCAGTGTGCAATGTGTGGTATATGTGTGCTGAGTAAAACTTACAGTGTGCACTGTATAGTGTGTAGTGTGCAGACTGCAATTTGACTTTGCAGTGTAAAGTGTATAATGTAAAGTGTGCAGTGTGCAATGTAAAGTATGCAGTGTACAATGTAAAGTGTGCAGTGTATAATGTAAAGTGTGCAGTGTGCAATGTAAAGTATGCAGTGTACAATGTAGAGTGTGCAGTGTGCAATGTAAAGTGTGAAGTGTGCAATGTAAAGTGTGCAGTGTGCAATGTAAAGTATGCAGTGTACAATGTAAAGTGTGCAGTGTGCAATGTAAAGTGTGAAGTGTGCAATGTAAAGTGTGCAGTGTGCAGTGTGCAACGATGTGGTGCACATTAAGCTACCCTCAAAAAGTGTAAATGGTATAAACGTAAGTTTGCAGTGTGCAGTGAGCGGTGTGCAGTGTGCAGTGTGCAGTGTGCAGTACATTATACCGTGTACAGTGTGCAGTGTTCAGTATAAAGTGTAAAGTGTTCAGTGTAAAGTATAAAGTGTACATTTTGCATTTTACACTTGTTCCAACTACGGGTTCAATCTGTATAAGATTATATTTTATCATAAAATACAATATGAAGAAATATAAAAAAAGATATGCTCAAGAAAAATAAAATCTTTGATAACTCGGAAATACGGGAAATCTGTGACATGGATAAATGCGTCCTTTAAATCAAATAAAGATAACAAGGAAATAAACTCAGTTTTGTATAAAAATACCGTAGTAATGTCTAATTAGCACCACAACAATCAATACTTATGTATGTAAATATCAAGTTTAATTTCTTTCCATTTAATTTTTTAGCTTTTTTTAGAATGATCTTTTAACTGAATATCATAATAATTGGTCTTATCTTGAAAGAGGAGGCATGAGAGATTTACAATTGCAACCTAGAGAATAATTCTATATCTGATCAAAATAGATAATTTTATTTTATTCTGGAAAGTGTAGAATTCTGATAATTCATATTTATTCCTTATTGGAGACCAAGCTTTAAACTATTCACTGTTAATGTTTACCTTACGTAGGGAAGATAGAACTATGTGTACAATCTCTTTAACTTATGTAGGGAAGATAGAACTACGTGTACAATCTCTTTAACTTATGTAGGGAATATAGAACTACGTGTACAATCTCTTTAACTTATGTAGGGAAGAAAGAACTAATGTGTACAATCTCTTTAACTTATGTAGGGAAGATAGAACTACGTGTACAATCTTTTTAACTTATGTAGAGAAGATAGAACTACGTGTACNAACTACGTGTACAATCCCTTTAACTTATGTAGGGAAGATAGAACTACGTGTACAATCCCTTTAACTTATGTAGGGAAGATAGAACTACGTGTACAATCCCTTTATCTTATGTAGGGAAGATAGAACTACGTGTACAATCCCTTTAACTTATGAAGGGAAGATAGAACTACGTGTACAATCTCTTTAACTTATGTCGGGAAGATAGAACTACGTGTACAACACCTTTAACTTATGTAGGGAAGATAGAACTACATGTACAATTCCTTTAACATATGTAGGGAAGATAGAACTACATGTACAATCCCAAGTAACAATTTTGCGAAAAATCCGCGGAAATTCCCAGGAATCTTTCCTGGGAATCCGCGGAAATTCCCAGGAATCTTTCTCAGGAAATTCCGGTAAAAATGTCGAAAGCTATTCCGAGGAATTTCTTGCAACACATTCAGAGGAAATTCTCATAACTCTATCCAAGGAATTTCTTGTAACCAATTCCAGGGAATTTCTTGCTAGCAATACAGCAGAAAAACCGGAGAAAATGTCGACAAAATTCTTCAGAACCAATTCCTGGGAATTTCCTTGGAACTATTCCCAAGATTTTCTCAAGAGTTCCTCAGGAATATTTTGAAATATTCTCAGCATATTCCTGAGTAAATTCACTTACCAGGACTTAGGCCCAATAGTAGTGAATAACCTAACAACTATATTGCCCCTCCAAAATTTTAGAAGTAGAACCATCTTCTTAAGTCAGAATGTTATAGTCGTTTTTGTCCTTACTGAAGTTGTCATCAAGTTTGTTTAATCAGACAACTGAATTGTCAAAAAAAAATAAAAAAATGAAGAAAAAAATTTAAAAATATTTTTTATAAAGATGGTTCTTAAGTAAATTATCATTTTTTATCAAAAAGGATGCAAAGAAAAAAAGATTTAGGGCAGTGCATAATAGAAGAGAATCTCAGAGTCACCAATTGGAGAAATACAGTACTTGAAAATTAAGTGAAGAAGTCCTAAGAATTTCTCAGGAATTTCCAAAGAAATATTCCTGAGAAATTCTCAGGAATTTTTCGAAACTTATTCTCTTATTTAGTTCCCCTAAAAATCCGTAAACTTGGTGACCAAGTCCTAAGAATTTCTCAGGAATTTCTGGAGAAGCATTCAGAAGAATTTCTGAGGAATTTTTTGGGGTAAAATTCCGGAGAAATTCCCAGGAATTTCTCAAATTTAATTCTCGTATTCAATTCCCCTAAAAATCCATCAATTTGGTGACCAAGTACTAAGAATTTCTTAGGAAATTGCCGGAAAAGTAATCAGGAAAAATTCTAAGGATTTTCAATTATTGAAATTCCAGAGAAATTCCCAGGAATTTCTCGAAACTAATTCTCTTAATAAATTCCCTTCAAAATCCGTAAACATGGTGACCAAGTCCTAAGAGTTTCTCAGGAATTTCCGGAGAAGTATTCCTGAGAAATTCTGAGGAATTTTTCCCCACAAAATTCGTCAGAATTACTCTGGAATTTCTCGAAACTGAGTCTCAAAACTATGATCCCACAAAAAACTCTCATCTTGGGGAGCAATTCTGGGGAATTTCTTGAGAATTTCCGAGGAATCAGTTACAGGAAATGATTCTCGAGGAAATTCTTCAAAGAAAGTCACCACGGTTGGAGAATCTGGGGAAATTCCTCTCTTTTGTTGCTTGGGATCCCTTACGTAGGGAAGATAGAACTAACGTGTACAATCCCTTTTACTTATGTAGGGAAGATAGAAATACGGGTACAATCCCTGTATCTTATTTTGGGAAGATAGAACTACGTGTACAATCCCTTTAACTTATTTAGGGAAGATAGAACTACGGGTACAATCCCTTTAACTTATGTAGAGAAGATAGAACTACGTGTACAATCTCTTTAACTTATGTAGGGAAGATAAAACTACGTGTAAAATCCCTTTAACTTATATAGGGAAGATAGAACTACGTGTACAATCCCTTTACCTTATGTAGGAAAGATCGAACTAATGTGTACAATCCCTTTACCTTATGTAGGGAAGATAGAACTATGTGTAAATCCCTTTAACTTATGTAGGGAAGATAAAACTACATGTACAATCCCTTTACCTTATGTAGGGAAGATAGAACTACGTGTACAATCCCTTTAACTTATGTAGGGAAGATAGAGCCTACGTGCACAATCTCTTTACCTTATGTAGGAAAGATCGAACTAATGTGTACAATCTCTTTACCTTATGTAGGGAAGATAGAACTAAGTGCACAATCCCTTTACCTTATGTAGGGAAGATAGAACTACGTGTACAATCCCTTTAACTTATGTAGGGAATATAGAACTACGTGTACAATTCCTTTAGCTTATGTAGGGAAGATAGAACTACGTGTACAATCCCTTTACCTTATGTAGGGAAGATAGAACTACACGTACAATCCCTTTAACTTATGTAGGGAAGATGGAGAGAAATTGACAAGAGAAGAGAAAAGAAGAAGACGAAGATCAAGTCCAAGGTACAGTTTAAAGAGAATGTTTACAAAAAATGTCTAATGATGTTTAACCCTTTCACGATTGGAGGTGTCGAATTTCTTCTTTTTAACCTCTGCTTCAATGATCTAGCTGCAAACATGTTGGCAAATTTACAAAAACCCAAATATTTATTGCAAAATGTTGAGCATTCCAATTCCAATAAGTTGACAATTGTGATTTGATCTATTGCCTTTAGGTACAGAAGAGCACACGCCACACGGGAGAGGCTCAGAGTCGAGGTTATATATTTTATTTGAATACAATTTGTTTAAACTTTGGAAAAATTAGCTCATTGATATTTTAAGCTGCTTTAAAACTTTTAATCTTAACTTTGGAAAACCAGCCCTTGTTATACTGCATTAACACTATGCTTTTGGAAACAAACCATTTTATTATTTAGAAATTTAACTCAGCTTTTGGAAACCAACCATTTTATTATTCAGAAATTTAACTCAGCTTTTGGAAACCAACCATTTATTATTCAGAAATTTAACTCAGCTTGGAAACCAAACATTTTCTTATTTAGGCATTTAGCCCAGTTTTTGGAAAGTCAGCTTTTGAAAACCAAACATTTTCTTATTTAGGCATTTAATTCGGCTTTTGGAAACCTACGTGAACTGCTACCCACTCTACCACCGGACAAAAAACTTTCAAAAATAGAAATTTTAAAGCTTGCAATCTGCTATATTGCATACTTAGATAGTGTACTTAATACACCCTAATGATAAAAATAAAAAAGGATCGATTTAAAATATTAACATTTTTCTATTATCATATTGAAACTTTTTTAGTTAGATTTGTTTTGGGCCGAAGGTTACTCAAACTTTTTAGCTAGACCAAATTATGGGAATTATTATTCAAAATATCTGACAATTCAGCTGCAGAAAATAATTTTTTGGAACAAAATTTGTGTAATATATATCTTATAGTTCATTTATTAAATTAACATTTAGAATATCTCACTAATTATTAGAAATATTAAAAAACCATTCATCTGATGAAAAAAAATGTTCCTTGTAATATTTAGTATTAAACTCAAATATGTAAAACCTGTGAACTAGACAATTTGACACATTTCAAACATAGAAAAGTAAGATTTAAAAATTCTGTTTTACTTCATGTGTCAAAGTTTCATTCATACAAATAATGAAAAAAAATAAGTGAAAAATGTAAAAATTTTGTAAAATATATATTATTACCATTTTTTTATTAATGCAATTTGAAACCATGCACTAGGTGGAAATTAATAAAAAATTAACTGAACTAGTGTAGCCATGATTGTACGGGATGAGTAGTTTAACTATTAGGCATAACCAAATAGATCAAGTACAATAGGTGGCAACAGAGAAATAGACCAATTATACACGACGTCACAAGTGTCAAATATAACAAGGAAAACGAAATTTTCTCAAATAAGTTGACATGTTTTCCAAGATTAAATAAAAAGTGTAAAAAACAGAAAATAAAGAACACATAAAATTGCACTTATTTTAGTCTAAGATAAGCCTTTTATTCTAAAATTATCATTATTATCAATAATTTTGTCTGACACACAAACTGAGTTGACACTTGTGACGTCAGAATACAGCTGTACTGAGAGTGTACAAATTCTACGTTGCCTTCTATTGTACTAGAATCTATTTGGGCATAAATAATTCTACCAATTTTCAGTTCTCACTAATTATAATAAGTAATAATCACTAGTTCTGTAACATATATATAAATCAATATAATATACACAGGGTTATCCACAAAGGATGAGTCTATATGAGACGACTGTATGGAATTTGTTTAGTTTTTTCTTTTTTACATTTATAGTTCCTATAGTTCCAACAATTTAATAAACCATTAACAATATATTTTGAAGGCAAAACTTGAAGTAAAACCATAGAAATCCAATTTGATATGTTTGGATTTGTATGTGGCCATAAACCCTTTATCCTTAGTGGGTAGCTCTTTATCTATATATAAATTTGAAGTAAAACCTTAGAAATCCAATTTGATATGTTTGGATTTGTATGTGGCCCTAAACCCTTTATCCTTAGTGGGTTGCTCTATATCTATATATATTGTTTTGTTTTACAATATGCGCAACGAGAACATTTACATGCAGTTTAAAATTATTAGATATAGATAGATAGATAGCGAAGCCTAATTTAAACCCTAATTTATCTATAATAGTATAATAGATGAATGTAAACATAAAGTGTAAGATATAAGACCCACTTTAATCAATTACATTCCCCTGGGATATAGATAGATAGATAGATAGTAAGGATACATATAAAAGGTAGATAGACAAATAGATAGATAGGTAGATAGGTAGATAGGTAGATAGATAAATAGGTAGATAGTAAAGATACATATAAAAGGTAGATAGACAGATAGATAGATAGGTAGATAGGTAGATAGGTAGATAGATAGATAGGTAGATAGTAAAGATACATATAAAAGGTAGATAGACAGATAGATAGTGAGGTAGATAGGTAGATAGATAGATAGGTAGATAGTAAGGATACATATAAAAGGTAGATAGACAGATAGATAGATAGTAAGGATACATATAAAAGGTAAATAGATAGATAGGTAGATAGTAAAGATACATATAAAAGGTAGATAGACAGATAGATAGTGAGGCAGATAGGTAGATAGATAGATAGATAGATAGTAAGGATACATATAAAAGGTAGATAGATAGATACATAGTAAGGTAGATAGGTAGATAGATGAATAGACAGATAGATGTATCTTATATTATTTGGTTAAACACAATTTATTTATGGTTTTAGAATACGCATGTCTAAAGCTACAGAAGAGTATACGTGAGTTATTTAAAAAATAATTAATTTGGTAATTGGTAAGGTGTAAGCGCAAATTAACAGCAGAAAAAAGTTCAAATCATCAATATTTTTAATATAATTTCTGCAATATATATCTATTCTATTTTATTTTTTAAATAAATTAATATCTCACAAATTATAAGTTCATCTAAATACAAAACATGTTCTTAGTAATATTTATCATTAAGATTCATGTTTAAATACTGAGAATTAGACAATTTGACACTTTTTGAAAATAAAAGATTTCAATCATCTTTTTATTTTATATGTCAAAGTTTCATTCATACTATCGTATACTAAAATGAAAAATAAACAAGAGAAAAAATGAAAAAGAAAAAAATGGAAATTTTAGTAAAATATGTATTACCATTTATTGATTAATGCATTTTGTGGCAAGCAATGTAAAGTGAGATGTAGCTAAACCAGATGCAGATGGTTAAACTACTTCACTAGTATAGTCGTGATTGTAATGGATGATCAAGTAGTTCAACTAGATGTAACTAATTCAACTAATTCTTGCTGATCATTGAATCCGACCTTGTGACGTTTTTGGACTGCTGAAGAACTAGTTTTTGCGTAACAACAATAACAAAGGCAGCGATCTAATGTAAACAAACATGAGTTAGTAAACTGTGAAAGTAGTATTATTTTGTTAAAAAAGATTGAAAAATTTCTCAAATCAATGTTGTATATGTTGTATACCTTAGATATTTTAAACTATGAGCCCTGATAGATCAAATGATCTCAGTTTGAAATATCACATGTTTACACCATCAGGTTCCAAAGATATAAGAATTACAAGATTTGAGTTTGTTTCAAAGACTCATATCCTTTGTCAAAAAAAAACGTAAAACATTTTTTTATTTTTTATATTATTACTGTTTAATGAAATCAAATTTAATTATGTTAAATCTACTGAAATATTGAGATATTTGTTCTAATGTATTGTTCGGGGCATCTAACTCTGAATACATACTACAGATGAGATATGAAGTACACCTCTTAGATAGGATTTGTACTTTATGTCTACTTCATATTCCGTGCATAGCTTTGAGTAAATCAGATTGTACAAAATTTTTAAACCTTTAATTTTTCATATTTCATGTTGCAGCATTACATTGTTTACATGTTTACTTATCTCTCATGAATATAAGCTTGCTTGCAAATTAAAAGTGTATTGATAAAAACGCTTACCACTGAATGATGAAAAAAATTTAAATTCTAACTTTAGGAAAATGAAGAACCTATAATTGTACAAAAACAAGATCAACAATAACAAAATGAAGAATTCTGTTAAAAAGAAAAGTTTTTTAATCAATTTGTTAATAATCTTTAACAAAATTAAGTTTCAACAATTAAAATGTTTATCCATGTCCAACAGTTCTACTGAGTCTGTAAATCTGAGGTAGAGTGTAGAGAATAGGTAGAGAGGGTAGGATAGGAAGTTTATATATTTAACCCTGGTAGAGTGTAGAGAATAGGTAGAGAGGGTAAGGATAGGAAGTTTATAAATTTAACCCCTTAAAATATACAAAATATGTCTGTTTGAGTTCAGCTCACATATTGCATAAATTAAAGGGTCCATCAGTAAAACCAGATCCACACCTGAATTAAAAACTACAGCCTAAAGTATATTATTTATTCATTATAAATATATTATGAATAAAATATATTTACATATATACATAAAGTAAATATAATATATAGAATTATAATTTTACCTATTATGTATTGAATCTGATAAATATGATATTTGTAATATATCATCAGTAGCCATGTATTTAAATACACACATTAAACTCCAATAAACAATATAAAGAATATTAATATTTCTAAAATCAAACACAAACAATAAAACTTAATATAAAAATATATCAAATCATTTATATCTTAGATATGAAAATATAAACATTGATTAAATAGGTTAAGTATAAAATTTGACAAAATTTCTAAATCCCAATGTTTGAAATATTAGTTCCACCATGATTTTTTTGTGATATTCTGAATATCCTATCTTCTTGTTTAGTCCAACTATTATTTCACTTTAACATAGATGAAGAGGATTGGGTTTCCTTTATGAACAAGTTCAACATATTTGTCTCCATTAGTTAGGTAATTTATGTAAATAATGGGTATCTTGCTGTTTGCTCCAATCCACTCTAAACAATCATATCCAATACTCCTGCTATAATACATAATACCTCCTGATATATTCTCCTGGAGATGTTTTTTTATATCTTCCACAGAATAATCCACTCCTCTAGATACATTCAGTCCTATAGGTTTCTTCTTTACTGGAGGGGGTAGACCTCTCCTCTCTAGTTCATTCAGGAATAGTTCCACAGGGGAATAGTTATGGAATAGTTGCTCAAAGACATTATAGCCATATTCAATAAGAAGTATATATCTCTCTACATTCTTCTCCAGCATCTTATCCACCAGACTACTGTAGACAGCAGGATCAAGTTTACTCCCTTGTATTAATATGATATCTGGCTCAGGTTCTCCTACACTAAAATGAATATTTGTTAGTTCTGCAACTACAAGGTGTGTAGTTCCTCTCAATACTCCAGAATCCCTGTCTCCCTTATCAAAGACTAGGAGGGTAGTACTCTCTGTCCCCCTGGCATGCTGATATCTAGTGATGAGACATCCTTCCTGGGATTTTAGAAACTTATCCAGGTTCTTCTCATCTCCTACTTTCAGGTATTCAAATGATTCTATGCCTCTCCTTACTAGTTCAGCCTTAAAATCATCATATTTTAATTCCTCTGGAAGAAGGCAGACAAACTTTCGACTCTTATAAACTGCTTCAACTATTCTGCTGTAGAAATCCTTATCTTTACTACCAGATATATAAACAGGTGGAAGACCTAGCACTGTTGAGGTCCTACTACCCATCTTAG